GTGAAGGTTGCAGATCTCTCAAAACATCTGGATAGACTTATGTGTAGTGCTAGGGAAATCGTGGTACATGTTAGTACCAATGACATAATGAAGGATAGGAGAGAGGTCATGGAGACCAAATTTAGTCTGCTAGGTAAGAGATTGAAGTCCAGGACCTCCGTGGTATCATTCTCTGAAACATTTCCAGTTCCATGTGCAGGGCTAATGAGACAGGCAGAACTGCAGGGTCTCAAAGCCTGGATGAGAAGATTGTGTAGTCAGGAGGGTTATAGATTTATTGGAAATTTGGAAAACTTTTGGGAAAGGAGAAAGCCTATACAGGAAGGCTGGGCTTCACCTAAACCAAAATGGAACCAGAATCCTGACACTTAAAATTAAGTCTCATAGAGCAATTTTTAAACTAAGGGCTGGGGGGAAGCCGACAGGTGCAGAGGAGCATGGTTTGGGACAGAGACATCCCTTGGGGGTGATCTATTCATGGAGATTCTTTATGTCCTAGTAAAGAGAGAATGGAAGATGATAAAATACAGATAGGATCTGATGAGAAACAGTCAAATGAAAAAAACTCCCATTTAATTACATCATATAATGGCATACAGCTAAAAAGTGACAGATCATAAAGTGTTTTTATACCTATGCTAGAAGTCTAAATAATAAGATGGGTGAACAAGAGTGCCCCCTCTTAAATGAGGATATTGATATAATAGTCATCACAGAAACTTGGTGGAATGCGGATAATGAAAGGGTGGAAAATAGATCAGAAGGACAGAACAGATCGTGCTGGTGGAAGAGTTGCACTACATGTTAAAGAAAGTGTAGAAACAAATGAAGTAAACATCTTAAATGAACCAAACTGTACCAAAGGATCTCTATGAATAGTAATTCCATGCTCTAGTAAAAAGAATATAGCAGTAGGGATATGTCATAACTATAAAGGGAAAGGTAACAGCCCTCCTGTGTACAGTACTATACAATCCCTCCTGGCCAGAGACTCCAAAATCCTTTTACCTGTAAAGGGTTAAGAAGCTCAGGTAACCTGCCTGACACCTGACCCAAAGGACCAATAAGGGGACAAGATACTTTCAAATCTTGGTGGGGGGAAGGATTTTGTTTGTGCTCTTTGTTTTGGGGGTTGTTCGCTCTTGGGACTAAGAGGGACCAGACATCAATCCATGCTCTCCAAATCTTCTGAACAAGTCTCTCATATTTTAAACTTGTAAGTAAACAGCCAGGCAAGGTGTGTTAGTTTTTATCTTTGTTTTCTCAACTTGTAAATGTACCTTTTTGCTAGAGTGTTTATCTCTGTTTGCTGTAACTTTGAACCTAAGGCTAGAGGGGATTCCTCTGGGCTATTTAAGTTTAATTACCCTGTAAAGTAAGTTTCCATCCTGATTTTATAGAGATGATTTTTACCTTTTTCTTTAATTAAAAGCCTTCTTTTTAAGAACCTGATTGATTTTTCCTTGTTTTTAGATCCAAGGGCGTTGGATCTTGATCCACCAGGAGTTGGTGGGAGGTAGGAGGGGGGATGGTTAATTTCTCCTTGTTTTAAGATCCAAGGGGTTTGGATCTGTATTCACCAGGGAATTGGTGAACAATTTCTCAAGGCTACCAAGGGAAGGGATTTAGCACATTTGGGAGTGGTGGCAGCGGACCAGATCTAAGCTGGTAGTTAAGCTTAGAAGTTTTCATGCAGGCCCCCACATTTGTACCCTAAAGTTCAGAGTGGGGAAGCAGCCTTGACAGGATATGTTACTGATCAGCTGACCAGGGTGGTGGTAGTGATGGAGTTGTTGCTCTGTGGATCCCTGACACAGCCTTGATCCTATAGTCTCAGAGTATCTGAGCACCTTGCATGTATGTATCCTCCTGCCATCACTAAGAGGGAGGGCCAAGATATTATCCACCTGAGCAGAGGCTCAGAGACAGCCAATGGCTTGCCCATGGTCACAGTCAACAAGGGAATTAAACCCACCTGTCTTGAGTCACAGAGCAGTGCCTAGACCACAGCCCCAGGCTTCCAGCCATCTGAATGGTGACAGGCCTGGATGGAATCTCTGCTGCACCTGCAGAGCTCCCCCTCCCGGCCATGCTGTACAGAGCAGGGATGGCAAGGAGCCAGTTACAGAGGTTTGATTGTCAGGCCTCTTCTCCCCCTGCGACAGCAGAGTTTAGAGCAGCCTGGGCACTTGGCTAAACTCTGCCTGATTTTAACAGCTTCCAAGAGCACAGCACACTCTGACCATGTCTGTGCAAATCAGTGCCACCACAGAGTGCCCCCGGGGGCTTGAGGTAGCTGTTCGGGTGCCCAGCTCTTATCTCTAGGGTCTGTGCAATGTCTTACTCTCAGCCTGGAGTATTTAAAACAAGAGCTCCCTTTGTGGGAGTCACATTTATTCATCTACCCTCCAACTTGACCAGTTTGCTTTACTCATGAACACCCTATCATCCCTGTTGTTGGTGTCTGCATTGCTTCAGACTTGCTGAAACCCCTTTTCCCTTTAGCCCCCCCAAACCCATCTCTTACCACTAGGCCCTGCCCCCCGTTGATCCACTTCCCCTGAGGCTCCACCTCCTGGCAACCCCAGAGCCAGGCCACTCCAGAGCAACTACTGTGATATTCTCTGATCAAAATATGACCATTTAGATCATTTTTGCAACCATTGTTATATATTTGCAACACACTTGTACAAAATGTGGCATGTATATGAAAAGGTTATGATTTGCTGGTTATAGTTGTGCTAACTGTATTCATGTATCATTTTTCTATTTGAAGGTATGACTATTGTCTCTATACCTGGATTTCAAATGTTTGCTCCTGGGGTAATGCCCACAAACTAGTTAGCCTGTAATTCTTGGAGAGACGATTCAAATTAAGGGCTGATCAAGAAACACTTAAATGACAATGGACCATGGGAGACGCCCATCTACACGGAATGGACTGTCCTGCAAATGTACTGTCCGGGTATAGGTAATGGTTTCCTGCTGTGACTAAGGAAAATTATGTTGGAGATGTGATTGTCCATGTGATTCCAAACCCCAACTTGTCACCTGTAATTTTCCACTAGCTGTGCTGAGGGCTTTGTTTAAAACAATGGTTTTCCCTCCACATGGCAGAAGCTATAAAAACACTATAAAAGAAAACATCTCCGTTTTGCTTCTTTCCTGCTCAAGGTTCTGGACTATGAACTTAAACTAATGGGAGCGTTCTCAGCAATAGAATGAGGTCCTTCCAATGATTTGGAAGCAACCAGAGACTCATCAAGGTAGTAGCTTATTCCATCACCGCTACAAGCCTGAAATAAGAACTTTACATTTATTGTACATATTTGACTCCTTTAACCAATTTTAACTCTCACTTTTCTTTCTTTCTTTCTTTCTTTCTTTCTTTCTTTCTTTCTTTCTTTCTTTCTTTCTTTCTTTCTTTCTTTCTTTCTTTCTTTCTT